AAAAAAATCATAAGAGAATCGGTATGTAACATTCAAATGTGAGATCAATATTCATTGGAAGATCAATATCTCTCATCGAAGGGGTATTTCTTCTATTTTCTGAGATTCATAATTGGTAAAAAATTTTCTCATCAATTCAATATAATTAGAGACTGAATTGACTGTTACTTTCTTCTCACAGATTCACTCCTCAAAAATTTTTTCAATTGACCAGTCTTGATACAAGGAAATACGTTTGATTCCTCTCATTTTTCTTCTTTCAGAACTCAACGAAAATAAAAACAAGATACAACTCAAGCAATTGATCGCACAATGTCGCCCTCGTTCCAAAATAGATTTGTGCTCCAAACAATTGGATGATGAAGACATAGAGATGGTGGTCAAACAGGCCATCATCAACAAACAATGCATATTGCTTGATTTAGGAGGAAACAAGATTACATCAGTCGGTACCTCGATTCTTGCCGATGCTTTACTCGACAATAACACATTGGAAACATTGAATCTTTTCCATAATTGCGTGTCTGATATGGGAGTCCAGTATCTTGCCAAGACACTCTCTACTAATAATCACACTCTCAAAGAACTTAGCCTTTCACAGAATGGCGTAACTGATACGGGAATGGAATATCTCGTCAAAATGCTTAAGACAAATCAAACATTGACTCAATTATGGCTAACTGGAAATAATATAAGTGATCGAGGAGTTCGATTATTGGCCAAGGTACTTGGGAATGATAACGTCACTCTCAAAGAACTATATCTTTCATTAAACAAGTTGATAACTGATTTGAGTGTTGATTCACTCTGTGATATAATCAAGCGTCATCAAACACTGAAGAAACTCTACATGTATGACTGCAATTTGTCTGATACGGGCAAGGACAGACTTCGAAAGATAGCCATGTCAAAAAAGAGCTTGCGTATCGCACTTTAGAAGTTGAGTTGATGAATAAATATTACCTGTGATGATAGTTATCCTGCTATATCTAAATGTAGCACATCCTGAGTTTGTGGAGGAGTGATTAAGTGGAATTACTGTTTGAGCCTTTCCTACTAATAAGATCTCGATAGAAAAGGGTGTGGGAGGGATGAGGTGTAGGTATGGGTGAGTGTGGATGTGGGTGTGGGTGTGAGTGTGGGTGTAGATATCTGTTATGATAAGTCACACACACCCACGCCCACATCCACACCTACACACACCCTCCAAGAGATAAACACAAACAGTTGAAACTTTGGATTTAAGGGTTTCTAATCATACACTTTCATTTCCAACAATAATAAATAAAGATCGAAATTTTCTAGAGTATGGCCATGTTCGATTACCCAATCGATTCTCTTTTAAATGAGTTATATTAATTAAAAAATCAATTTAAAAACAACCAAACTTTTACATTTCATGATTATTGAAATATGTCAACAATTCTTTAGAAGTATAATAAAATAACTTTTTAAATAGAATCAAATGTTAACTAATAGAAAATATGGATTAAAAAAGTAAGTCATAATTGAAGAATAAAATTTGTATGTGTGAAATGTCAATTTGAACTGGTAATCAAATAGTACGATAACGTAGATTACATATAGGTGGAGAAGAAAGATAATAAACGAAACAAGTAACGCTCGTCTGTGTGACTCGCTTAACCCTCGACTGAATATTTCACTGCATCGGCAGTTGTTTATTACTGCAGACATTTTGCAAAAGGTAGCATCGGGCATTTGCACATGGCTTTGTGCTAGTGTCAACATTAGTGTACACATGTGTCGGCGTGTATAATGCTATTGGTACCGTTGTAATACTGCTAGCTATAACATTCGTTCATTTAATCTGTTACTCTATCAATAACACTCAAAAGAAATCTACGTGACCCACACTGACACAGCAATATCCTCAAACCACGAAAAAATAGTATATTCGATTTTCAGAGAAAATCAGCAGACAAAGAATATCATCGTGACTGCAGTAAAGATGCACTACACTTCACGCAAACTGTATTAATAATGCGCATACTCATAAACACATAGGCGGGCAATATCGCTGACCGGTACCCACTACGAAAATGCATGTTTAGCGTAGCTATCAGACTAAAAAGCTATATTTGTTCAAACTAATATCCGGCATACGCAAGTTGAATCAGGCTTCAACTCTGAGTCTTTGTGAGATTAAATAACGAATTTTAAATAGCCGGAAAAAAAATTTGACAAGTCAATGGGCAGATGACGTATCTATGAAGATAAAGGATTATTAAATTCCATTCAAGTCCACTTTTGATGATTCGATGCAAATTGTATTATTGACGCTTTTCAGGAAATGTTCGATTCCGATATTGAAGATCTCCAACACACTCGTTCTCACACTTCATTCAAATACACTTGTTAACCCTCTTGCCAGTTCTTCCTCCCATGAATCCTAGTAAGATCTAAGTGCTAGAGATCCTTCCAATGGATTAGAAGTTTAAAAGAATTCTATTCAAAGGATTTTTTAGGGCAGCAGCTAGTCACTCGTCGGCATCCGAGTGGGTCGTCACGCGCAACTAATTGCTGTTATGCATCGTTCTCTTCCAGTAATTATATAATCATGCACTGTTATTTAAATTTTACTGGATTCTAGATTTGGATTAGTTTCAAAGCTGCCTATATTTATCGCATGAGAAATCCCAAAGTGAAAATACTTGTGAACTATTCCTTATGGGTTTCAATCCTTTACCTAGCTAGTCAATCTAAGATTTCATGGAGCTCGCCATCGAAAGAAGCTTAAGTATATGATTTCACACAAAAAACTAGCTTAATAGACCATATCTCATACCAAAAAAATTGTGAAATAGAAATAGAAGCTACTATATTTCACTGTCGGAGTTTCGACGTGGCGCTATTCACACTTAGCTACTACTATCTTTGAACACATATTCTCAAATGACTACTTTCTTATTCAAGGCATGACTAATCCACATTTCGACTGCTTCAAAAGCTTCTCTACTCGTAACTAAAGGGTACTAGATTTCCTATATCCAGCAAGATATCTATTAAATATATACGTGTCGTCTCTCGAGTTTCTCCATGTTTATAGGAGTCCTTCTCTACATAAAATGTCACATGTAAAGTCTCTGTGGCACTCTTTTAAGGACCTTGCTTGATGTTATGCAGAAATGTCGTAAAACAGATTTGAATAAACCTAGTTTAGAGGCAGCTATTCGTTCGCCGTCCTTCCGAAGGAACGCCATTCACGGCTATCCGCTACTTCCAGCTACTTTCACTCACGAAAGGTTGATACCATTTTCAAAATCGAGCCATCGTTCCTATTTTAAAAACTGATGGAAAGTTTGATCCTTTACAAAAAAATTCATCCACATTAGAAATTTTCTTTGGAAGCTTATCAGTATTCAGGAAGAGGACACGTTAGTATAGATTTACCGATAATCTGAAATATTCTGAATAAGTGGACACAGCCGTTGTATCCTGTCAATCTAAATAATTTTTTTGCGTAACTCGCTCTCATTCCTCAATCTTTGTTCTACAAGCACTCTAATTTCATCGTATTTTCGTATTTCTTGATTCATTACACTACTGTCACGTATTACAAAGTACTTGCTGTTTCTCAACATCACTTCTCATAGAACGAATAGATTCGAGATCTGAATTTTGGAATCCTGATTCCAGATTCGGATTTCTCACCCTCGATAACCTCTAACAAAGTTCGATCAAAACGGCCAAAAGCCGTAAAATAAAAAAGTTCCTTTTTTGATTGACCGGTTCCCGACCAATGAAACTTCGGCCAAAGAAATGGCTTCGGATTCGGATTCAGGGCCATCGATAACCTATAGCAAAGTTCACTCAAAACGACCAAAAGTTTTAAAATGAAAAAGCTCATTTCTGATTGACCGATTTCTGACCAATGAAATCTCGGCCAAAAAAATGGGCTTCGGATTCGGATTCAGGGCCCTCGATAACCTGTAGCAAAGTTCGATCAAAACGGCGAAAAGTCTTAAAATAAGAAAGTTCTTTTCTGATTGGTTAGTTTTCGACCAATGAAATCTCGGCCAAAAAAATGGCCTTCGGATTCAAATTCAGCGCTCTCGATAACCTATAGCAGAGTTCGATCAAAACGGCCAAAAGTCTCAAAATAAAAAAAGTTCGTTTCTGATTGGCCGGTTTCTGACCAATGAAATCTCGGCCAAAAAAA